TGAGATAATCTAAAATATTCAATATTAGGTAACTTCTGTTGTTCTTGCAGCACCAGAGGCCTCTCTGAAGCCAAGCTGGTCATGGCAGCATGGGTACATCCTGCACATCTGTGGCAGCTGACAAATTGCTTTCAGAGATGGCTGTGTGTGCAAAGTTGTCCCCACTCGGAGGATCTCTTGGGAACCAGGTTTGCTGGCTTTCCAGAGATTTTGAAATGAATTAAAATTAATAGGAAGTGAGCCTTCAGATCTCTTAAGTTTCAAAAGCAAAGGCTTAATGTTTCTGTAGGTGATTTTTTCCAAAGTGCTCAGGAGATTTGAGAGCATGAGGCTCCCTGCAAGGCAGCGGCACTGCACTCCTCAATTCCTTTAGGGAGAGGATTGTGGGCTGCCTGCCCAATGACAGGTAGGACATATCTCTCTGAACAAAAAGTTGAGAATTTTCCACCTTGTGCTTCCTTTCTGCTCACCTGGATTATGCTGATCTGTGTCTAAAGCAAATGTAGGGCTGGGAATCAATCACCCATAAGTAACTGCTGCTGTCTGGATTTAGGTATTTCTTAGTCTCTATCTGCAGCTGCAGTTTAAGGGGAGGCATGTGCAATTTTGTGAATTTTAACTTTGGGACAAAAGGATTTGGTGTACATCTGTTGTGGACAGCAGAAACCTTACACAGATGATGGTGATATAAATTTTTCTTGCCTTCACCAAAATTACATCTATTGCCTTTCCCAAATTAATACTGATGTTCCCGCCGTAGACTGAAATTTCTCAGCACTTTGTTTCTTGAGCAGATATTTTTGCTTTTCAGTCCTGTTTTCTACAGATGTTTTTAAAAACTTCTGTTAAGCGTATCTTGAATGCAACACATGGAAACAGTCGTGTGCACTCATGTTTGTGTATTCACAAAAAAGAAATTAAAATAGTTTGACCCTTATTTGAGGAAATCTGGTAAAAATGACCTGTCAAATATACTAAAGTTTCAGTGCCAAATGCAGGCAGTGAAATGTTTTCCACTCAGCTGAGACTGGCTCATCATCTTCCTGCTGAACACCCATGTGCTCCCTCTCCTGTGTGCAAGATCTTTCTCACTTTCATTAGATTTCCCTAAAAATTCAGAGGGTATTGTTTGTTTTTCTCTGCTGACAGATTTTTGCCTTTTAAAGCTCAGCCTTGCTGTATGACTATGAAAGTACTACTGAAGCTTCTGATTCAGCATTTTTATTCTTGATTGTCCATCATTTTTTTGTCCCTGAAAATCTCAGTTGTTTAGACAAGAGAGAGATGTCAGATGCAGCTTAAAGGAACTGGCATGATAGCAGCCTGTTACTAGGACCTCTCAGTGACTCAAAACAAGATGCTTTGTTCATAAGCTCTCTTTTACATTTAGCTCTGGACATTTATTGTGGCAGGTTCAGCTTAGACAGATGTCTGTTGCAGGTCCTGTCTTGTTCTCACATTAAACAGGAAAGATGAAAAAATGTGCAACTAATTGCCAGTGGGGTAATGAATCTCCTCATATTTTGACAGAGCCTGTTAATTCAGTTGTGATCCTGTGGGTCGTTTAATCAATTCTGCTTGGAAATGGGTAGACACACAACAGAAGGGTAGAGACACATCAGTCCCTATGTACTCAGGAATAAAAAGAAAAACTCTGTTTCAGGTTGATACCAAATAGACAGAGAATACCAAGTTTTAGTCAACTAAAATATTTTAGAGTAAATTTTTCCCTTCTTTTTTTTTTTTTTTTTTAATTGCTATTATTTTTTTGGTATTTGGCTGAAGTTTTAAGACATTTTAATGTAAGATGTAAAGGAACTTTTGGAAAGGAACAGTCACTTGGAATTGAATGATAGAAGTATTTGTCTAAGGAAACAAAACAACAAAAAAAACCCCAGACCCAACCCAACATGCCAACCTGAGATGTCTAGATTGTTACCATCTTGCACCTTGTTCCCTCCCTAGACCCACTCTGGCATAAGAAAAAAAAGTGAAGGCAAACAGAAAGGTTCTTTCTCCAAAAAAAAATACTGTAATATTACCAGATCACCATTTTTTCCCCAAAAGCATTCTTTGATAGAAAATGCTTTACTTTGTGCTTATCTAGGAGCACAGGACATTCATCTGAATTACAGGTGAGCATAAGGAGGACTACAGATCTTCTGCTATCAGCAAAAAACAGCTTTAGAGTTAGCCCTGCACTGGAATTGCTGAAATCCTCTTCAACTGAAGGCAGTGGCAGCGCAGTCCTTTAGGAGGAAAACAAACAAACTGAAACCAATCTGTGGGGCATTTATTAAATCACATAGCCAGAATTCATGCATACAGTACTTAAGTCAGTAAAATCTGCTTGTGAGAAATACATTTGGGAGCAAAAGTATTTAGGATTTCTCAGTGTCATTTTACTTTGCTTTAATTTTCAAGTTAAATTTGGAATAGCTTAATACTTTTTCTGAAATGTAGTAGGGCACAGAATCTAATAACTGGAAAATGGCAAAAAAACTAGAAAGGGAGGTAAGGAGCATATACAAGTGACCGCTGAACCCTTACTCCTTCCACGGCTAACCTGAATGCCAGGCACCTAATGCTGCTATGATATATGCTTATTTGCTCCTAATAGCAGTGGAAGTGGAAAGTGCTAAGGGTGGTCCTTTTTTATTTTTACTTTTTTTTTATCCCAAGTGAGAGGACATTTATATTGATCCATCATTTGGGCCATACTAGATGGTTATGTTGAAATTGTAGCCTGGTTGGCCTGTCCCTGCAGTAGCAGATAGGCCAGTCTAGCTAATCATGTTACAGTTTCATGTCTTCTGCTGGTATTCCCTGTCTCAGGACCTACGGTGTCCACTGTTCAGTGGGCTAGTACTCCTCTGTCTCATCCCCCATGCTGCCTTAAGTGCAGACCCAGACATTTCTGCACACAAAAAGGCCCAAACCCAGTCAGTTCTTCAAATTTCATTCCTACGATCTGTTGCCATTGGTTTGATGGAGTGTTTCTCCATTTTAATCTGACATTGAAAATACGAAGTCCTGCTGGTGTGCTAGGTACCCCTCACAGCTATTGAGAAATGCTGTGATGAAACTCAGAGCTTCTGTAGACTGTTCCTTCTTTGGCAATAAGCCTTCCACACTTCTTTCACCACAACTGAAATCATCTGTCAGGCCATATACCTGCCTACAAATCATATTTACTCCCAGAAAACACCTTCTTTCTCCTCATATCTCTAGAAGACTAAGACATTCCTTGGGGGTTTTAAAGAAAGGTGGACTGCAGTGGTCCCAGCACAGCACAAAAAGGAAATTAGAGGTTTGTCCTGTGGATTTGATGACTTGAAGGAAGATGAAGTTCCCAGTGCCAAGAAGTTTTGTGAATGCAGGAATGACTTGAATCATCTGCAAAAAGTCACCTGCAGAACAGCTTAGAAATAATTTCTGTGTTAAGTAATTAACCTGTAGCAATTGCCTGGGGAGGAATGATTTCACAAACTTTATGATCAACATAAAGTTAGGCCTGGCTGACTAGAGAAGGAACTCTCCAATCTCCATGTGTAGCAAGCTCACAGAAATTTGGTCTGCTCACTTGAACAAGAAAAATACCTTTGAAGCCCATTTATACCAAGGGAAATAGGTGTATTTCAGGCAGGTAAATCACAGCTAATGTTCTTTGAGGGAACTGAATTCTGGACTGGGAAGCCTAACTCAAGGAAGATGGATCTGGGAATATTTGCAGTGTTGATCTGCTTGTTGAAGCTGGCAAACTCACTTCTTGCATTTCAGGGATTTTCGGGTGTTTATTCTGTATTTCTCCAAGTTGCCTCAGTCCTGTAGGGGCTTGGGTCACTTCGTCCTGCTCAGAAAGATGGGGGACAGGGTTTTATGACCTCACATGCCGCAGTGTCATCTGTTATCTTTCTTTGTAATATTTTTTGCTTTCTTTTCCCATTTCTATGGCAACTTTTGACAACGTCCCTTCTATTATGCAGCTCAGCATAACTTGGAAGAAAAAAAACTGTTAAATTTTCAACAGGGTCAGATGTCAGGCTTTTCAGAATGAGATTGAACATTTGGCTGGCTATGCTCATGTTGGCAAAGTAGGGGGGGAAATTCCTTTGTGGGGAAGCTTTTTCTAAAATGTGCAATACAGGCTCTGATGGTGGGTGATACGTCCCTGCCCTGTATCCCCAGCATTAAGTAAAGGCAGGATGACAACAGGGGAATAGTCCAGCCACTGGTCTGGACTACCTGCATCCTTTTAGGCAATTGCACTTCTCTCACTGTACTGCTTCATGGGTTTCTCTGTGGGAACAAGGCAGTCTAGTGTGCTTGTTCTCCTGCTGCCATGATAACGGGACAGGTTAAAGTGAGGCTTTGCTTCTTATCTTGCCTTATTTAATGAGAAGAATCCAGAGATACACAGCTGTCGTCACCCTTGCTTACTAATAACACCTCAATCCTGCACAGAAAAATGCAATGGTAAAAGGCAATATCCACAGGGCACGTTATGTTCATCTCTGTTCCTCAGCAATTATGATATCTGTAGTGAGCCACCGAGGTAGGCACAGCTATGAATGACTATTTTAGCAAAGGTCTTGTAAAAGTTGCTAGCATGGTGGTTGGTTCTTCTACATCACCTTAAGAGAAGCTGCAGTTGCCAGACATTATTCAAGAGCAGGACTCCTCAGTGTAGGACCAAAATATTGATGGGGGGTCTTCCAAAATTCTGGCCTGACTAGTTTTGCCTCTCTGGAAATGAGATGGCTAGAAGAGTCTCTGACCTCGTATTTGCAGTCAGGAAAGATTGAAAGAAACTCTTCCTGCACACCAAGCCTGTGAATGAGATCAAAGGGGACTCAGAGATCAGAACTTAACAGGAGTCAGGGGAAGAGCAAATAGCAGTTGCTTTTAAAAATTCAGATATGTAAAATGAAGATCAGCAGTTTCAAAAGATGTCATGTTTATCGCTGATACACTCAATTTATTTTTGTCTTCTGCTCTAGGAAATGACAGTGTCCTAAATGAACATAGTGGAGAGCATGGGCAGGCCAATGAACACACCTTAAAACAAGTGGCTTCCCTCAGATGAATGAAGGGACACACTGTTTGCAAGCCTCATTGCTGAGAGGTGAGTGATGGGGCAACATCTAGACCATGTCTCCCCAGGGGTAGGGTTGAGATCTCTGTCTGGGGCATTCCTGGCAGGAGATGGCAACATGTGTCCCCAGCCTACCAACGTGAGCTGTGAGAAGCAGAGGGATTGCACTGGGGTATCTGTCACTTTTGCACCTGTGATGGTGTTTGGAGGGAGACAGAAATGCAGCAGGTATGATTTTGAAGCAATCTCTCCCTCCACTGCTTTGAGGAAAGCAGAGCAGCTGTCAGGAGGAATATCCCTATTCCACATGGCTGTTCCATGTAAATATAGCATTGTAAACAAAAACTTGCCTGGGAATTAATCCCAGGGTGACTAAAAATACATGGACATGTTTTTACTGGCTCTTCTAACACTTAGCACAGCACTTTTTCCAGTCACAACTGATAGATATTTCCATTAATGCATGTATAAGCAATTCAAAGAGTTGCTGCTAGCAGAACAGGCTGAGACTTTCAAGTATCAAAAACCTGAAGTGGAGAACAGAAGTCATGCCCAAATGCCAAGCCCAAATACCTGCATGTTGTAGTGCTGGTGAAGCACTCAAAGCAGGGAACATTAAATGGCACAGGAGGGCAATGCCACCACACAGCCCCACACTAATACAGCCAGTTAGTGCCTGGCTGAGCTGTCTGACTCTCATGGGGAAGAGGGGTGTATCATAGATTTGGAAGCTGCAGGGATTTTTTTTCTCTGGGTCTGATGTGGGCAATAACATGCCATGGTCACATGCTGCCTGGTTTTGGAGGCCATCCTGCCTCCTTGGCTACCCAGCCTTCAGGTACAATTCCTCCCTGCCTAGCTGTGTCAATCATTACTTTCCCCCAAGAGTCCATGGGAAGAGAAGTGATGAATAGAGACTAGTTTATCATTTTAAAGAGATTAACTTATATTTCGCATTAAAGTTTTCATATTTTTGTAAAAAAATAAACCTTATTCCCCCTCCCCTTTTCAAATCACAACCATATTCTGCTGCTTGTAGAGAATATTTGTATTTGTTTCAGTGCTCTATATTCAAATAAACCCTTCCTTACTTAGGAATGCTTGAATTTTTGAAAACTATAGGGAACCCAAGGGTGTTGGCAAGTGCATTTCTTCAAAATGGTCCCAGTGGTGGAGATTTGAAAGCATATATGAGCTGTTTTGATAATCCCTCTACTGAGCTACTTTATAACTTTGGATTCTAAAATACTTCCCTGACTCTGGCCTAAATCACTTCAAAAACAGAATTTAGACACTTAAATCATTAAGAGAAAAAAATCCTAGCAGTAATGCGTAAGTCCTTTTGAGAGTACAACTCAATGTCTTCAGCATCAAGTCCATAGAACCCACATGTCAGACAAGAAAGCAGGTTTTGCTAGCAAGAAAATCCCCTCAACTTTGAGAATTAAACTGCCATGACACCCTACAAATCATACGCTCTTTGTAGCGACCTGTCATCAAAGTTCAACATCTTGTTCAGGCCTCTCACATTGAAAAAGTTGCCTTCATGAACTAGAAGACACACAGGCATCCCTCTAGAAAGGTCAAAGCATGACAGATTCCTTCTGTGTCATATCTCATACAGCAAAATCAAGAAAGAGTTTTAAAGTGGTGCACAAACGCAGAAGCAAAAATAATTGGGGTAGACAAGTTAGATGACCTACCTAATTGCACCTCAAACAGGTAATGCCTTCATAGATACACATGGGAGAGGAGTTAAATATAGATCCTGATTTGTATTCTTCAACATGAGAGTGTGGTTGGCTATTTTTTGGTGGGAGAAGGGGAAACAACAGAGTTGGACTGCTGCAAACAGGACGCCTTGTGATTCTGCATGTGCCCAGCACTAGGATAATAGCTAGAAATAGTTTAGACATTCATTTTGCCTGAACCTGGATGCCTGTTGGCAGACAGGAAATACGACCTGTGGGAGACAACTATTGTTCTGGAGAGGTAACCCAGTGCCTGTCTGAGTACAGAACAGGAGAGATATTTCTACTTGTTTGCAGTCTGCCTAAGGGGTTAGTTCATAGAAACATAGAATATACTGAGTTGGAAGGGACCCACTAGGATCATTGAGTCCAGCTCCTGGCCCTGCACAGGACACCCCAAGAATCACACCATGAGCCTGAAAGCATTGTCCAAACGCTTCTTGAACTCTGTCAGGCTTAGTGCTGTGACCGCTTCCCTGGGGAGCCTGTTCCAGTGCTCAACCACCCTCCAGGTGAAAAATCTTTTCCTGATATCCAAACTAAATCTCCCCTGACTCAGCTTCATGCTACGTTCTTTAGTCCTGTCACTGGTCACGAGAGTGAAGAAATTGCTATTTGCCCCTCCACTTCCCCTCGTGAACATCTCACTGCATCACAGACTGCAACATTTACATAAAGCAACTCTTCATCAGCCTCTTGTCTCATGGCTACTTCTTAGAGTATTTTGGTGGGGCACAGTTTTGAAGGGATATTTACCTCCTTCAACAGTGCTAGAGGCACCAAAGAGATATTCAGGTTTTCTAGGTTTTGAAGAATGACATCAGTAACTTTGGACATCTTTGCTGTGACAAAACAGCTACTGGGATAATTTGGGGGGGAGGGGTGGGTGGGGGGTGAGGATAACTAAGCCTAATAACAATAAAAATTTAAGAAATAAGGTTCTGACTAGCTCCTTGAGTTTTTCCTTTCGGGGTATTATTTTGAGGCTGTGAAAATAAGAAAAGAAATCTTGTGGTTAGTTTGGCCCACAAAGAGCTACTATGAAGACAGGGTGATGGATGTGTTTCATAGAATGGATATCGAACACATTCATGTGTTTGTTGGAGTGAATAGATAGCATTTCAGCTACTTCTTGAAGCTGAAATACTGATCCTAAATATGTTTGAAAGTGGGCAGAATCTGACTGACTACAGCCCAAGTGACAGGAGAACTGAGAAATCCATGTAATGAATAATACTTGGGAATTTCACCCAAAAAATGTTATTCTTACTACCCCATAATTTTTTCTCTGAACTCAAGTGTTAGTTGCCTGAGATCCTCAAAGCCAAATGCAGGGACAGCCCACCTTAAACTTCTCATCTGCAGTCTGACAGGCAGTGTCTATGTCCACCACTCCATCTGGCTTAACCTTCCCAGGAAGCTGATGTTCATCTTTGTGCTTCAGTGAATGGTTTCATTTTACTGAAAAGGAACCTAGCTCAGTAGCACTCAAGGGGCTGTCAAATGAAAATGGAATTAAAAAATGTTGGCAATTTCTCTAATAATCAACAGTCTGCTTTGAAATACTCTTGACACTTTCCTTTCAAATTAACTCAGGAAACATTTTTATATGCAAAAATCTTAAGGAGTTTTTTCTGACCCTAAGAGTTTGAAGATTGTCTGTTGTATGCAGAAAGTTGAAGAGAGGTCTTGAGAAAGAAATCTGTAGAAATTCTCATTTTTAGTACTTTTATTATATCCAAAATAGACATTGTGCAGGTGAAGACTTTTTGTTTTGTTTTCACTGGTTTTGTTGCAGCTTCCTTGCAGTCCATCTGCACGCCAAAATGAAACTCCTTGAGACCCAGACAGGAGGAAGTCCTGCTTCATTTCATATTCGTCTGGTAATACCAGGTAGTCCTGACCTTGGCATGAGAAAACTTGAATTTTGTGGGATTTTTGGTCAGGTTTATCAGATCTTCTATTTGAATTTCTGGGCTGCTGGTGATTTGGTGTATCAAATACTCTTTAGGTGGCAGGTTTTGATTCAATGTTTTCTATCCTGTGCCAGCCATACCCAGGTTCCTCCGACTATATTATTCTGAGTTAAGGCTTCTTAGAAAAGAGGGGCATGCACACACAAAACAGACCTGAATACAAGCTATAAAAGAGATCTTTGTAAGCTGAAAGTCAAGTGCTAAGGCTTTTGAAAAGCATCCTCGTTTCATCAGGTCCTGCTCAATCTCACAATTGGTTTCTCTCACCTACAAGGCTAATCTTGCTGACTGTGCTTTATCAGCACAGACGTTGCAGCACTAAGTGGCTGTTAAGGTCTGTGCAGGTGCATTGGTGGGAAGTACTTATTGGCTACCTATTAGCTACTAGTATATCTTCTGTATCTTGTAAACTCTGTTTGCTCCCTAGCACAAGTGTGTAAACTCGTAGGACCAGACCAGAAAGGACAATTCTTACCTTAATGACAATACCAGCATGTGCAGCCTTCAGTATCTGTCAGCACAAGGTGGTGAGACTCCAAGGGGAGACGCACAGCACATGGCACAGGTCAAAGTCCTGCACAGCTCATCAGTGGGAATGACCCTAGCACAGCACGCTCTGACAACACCCAGCCTTACCGCCCACCCACTGACCTGTTCTTGCTCACTGCTAGGATGAAAGCTCACACTGTGCACACGCAGCAGCCAGGATGCAGTAACACAACCATCAACATACAGTTCACACTGTGGCAGATGTTACTGACAGTTTACAACAGGGTACAAGGCCAAATGCAACAGCTGTGCAGCTGAGAGGCCCGAACGAGTTGCACTATTGGGAGTTTACCATGTCTTGTAATTGGCAGACCAACATTTTGGCACAGTGGATAACCCAGAGTAACTTCCTAGAAACAGTTTTGTCCCTGAGGGCACAGTGTTGAGCGTTCCCCTTTTGTTCGCAGATTCCCACAGGTTCAGTCACTGGTGGAGTCTCTTCTAACGCGGGTAGAAGTTGCCACCAGTGAGGGTGGCAACTTCAGACTGGTCATATTGCAAAGTTGACATACTACACATTTTACTATCTGGCTCAAAGGATGGGAAAATAACGGCTGGCATGCAGAAAAGGAATAGAATAACTTTATATTTTTACAATTACCTGGTTAGTCATTTCATAACACTTTCTCATAAAGTTACATGCCCACATACTACAAATTTAGGGTTTTTTGACATCTCTAATTGAGGAAGCTCTTCTCTCTGCCAAGTACTGCTTTTAATCTGTTATTACCTACTCCTTTTACCTATTTAAGGACCATTAATTTCTATAACGTTTTTCTGAAAGACATGAAAGTATAGTTCTCACTTCTGAAGTTGCAAAGATAGCTTAATGATAACAAATTATACTTTACCAGATTGCATGTGAGAAACATTTGGATTTAATTGAATCACTTGTTTCTTCCAACTCAAATATCATTTGCAAATACATAAATTATATCTACAGAGACTTATATACATATTTGACAATTTCTACACAAACATATTCACGATCAGGTCATTTTGATCATATTTAATAGTGGGCAGAAACAGAGTTTCTCTTTTATGGACTCTGAGACACTTGAATTTACACCTTATTTTCTTCTTTCCATAACTTCAGTCATGGCCATAAACTAAGTGCTGCACCTTTTCCTCCTCATAGAAATATGTAAAAATGGAAATCATTAAAGCAAAGTTAGGCAGTGAGTACTTGTTAATATTTATGTGGTGGAATTAACTACTTGCTCTCCTGTAATACTTATTGAAGACATTTAAAAATAAGATAAAACTGGTGTTAATGACTATTTCAGTTCTTACTCCATAGGAGTCAGATGTTAACAGCATACTCAGAAGTGGGGTTTTTAATTCTTCTATTTAGTTTATTAGCTATTATTCTTAAACTGCTGTTCACGAGGTTGTTTGTTATTTATTTGTTCCATCTCTGGCCTATAACAATGAAAAGATAATGTTTAAAGTTGCAATTGCTACATTTAGGCTCAGATTTTTGCCATCTTCCTTTCCCTCGCGGGAAACTTTTGACCTGAGACTTATAATCATGTGCTGTAGTGTCAGCCTCGGGAAACATAAAATGCAACACTTAAGCCTCAGTTATAAATAGGTAAGGTTATCTTCTACTATTTTATTCGTTTGGGTCAGGATAGAGTTAATTTTCTTCATAGTACTTTAGAAGGGTTATATTTTGTATTTGTTTTGAAAACAGTGTTGATAGCACAGGGACGTTTTAGCTACTGCTGAGCAGTGCTTATAAACATCAAGGTCTTTTCTGCCTCTCACACTGCCCTGCTGCTGAGTAAGTTGGGGGTACATGAGAAGTTGGGAGGGAATGCAGCTGACCCCAACTGACCAAAGGGATATCCCATACCATGTCCTCATGGTCAGCAGTAAAAGCTGGGGGAAGAAGAAGGAAAGAGGTGACATGCAGCATTTGTCTTCCCAAGTATCTCTCATGGTGGAGCTCTGCTCTGCTGGGTGTGGCTGAACACCTGCCCACCCCTGAAAAGTGGTGAATGAATTCCCTGTTTTGCTTTCCTTCCATGGTGTTGCTTTAGCTATTAAATTGTCTTTATTTCAAGCCACAAGTTTTTTCACTTTTACTCTTCTGATTCTGAGCAAGCAGGTACGTGGGGCTAAGCTGCTGGCCAGAGTTTGCCCAAAACAACCATTTTCCTTCAACATTTCTTCTACTACAGAAGAATCAACATTTTACTATTAATTATTCTCCCCTCAGAGATTTCTCCAGTACTTACATAGACTTTCTTGAAAGAACATGACTAAAATCAATAGCTTGAGGACTAGGTTCAGCTGCTTCTTTTAAAATGTTGTCTTGTAGAGTGTAATCCTACAGAGGTACAACAAACCAGAGAGCCCCCGTACGCCATGAAAGTGCTTGGGTTTAGAGCATTTCCCTAGAAGTTGATGGAGACTTACAGAATCACTTTGTAAGACTATCTGCTCCTGAAGTTTGAATACTTCATCAGTGTCTTCATTTGTTTCATTATTTGGGCATTTGTTTTGGATTGCTAGGGGCTTTTTCCAATTACAAATACTATTAGTTTTTTGAAGTTGCAGTCTTCTCCTACTTTTTAACTGGGCTTCCTGGGCTGTTATCTGGTTCTCATTATTGTGATTAGCCTCTGCAGCAGGCCATCATTATTAATTAGAATTTGCACAGGAGCTTTCATGTATTCTTCTTGCATATTCAGCTTCACGCTCTTAGTTATACCTAAGCAACTATGTAAAATGTAAAAATGCTGTGGCTTTATTGTGTAGTTGAGTAATGATTCAAATGGCATTTGTCATAGCCTGCACCTCCCTAAAATTTCTACACTGTGTTGATAGATGCAACAATATCTTACACTACACAATAGTCTTAGATCAAGTCAACTTTTAAGTTTGCTAGATATGAGACTGCAAACTGAAAAGCTGAGAAGTAACAGAGTTACTGCTATTCCTTGTTGCTTTGCTAATCAACATCTTATTAATTTTAATGATACTGGAAAGTCACACTGGTAAGGGCAACAGTACCTTCATAAAAATGAAACACACCACTCATATTCCTGCATATTTTGGATATGTGCCCAATGCAGAGGCAAAAGGCCTGTGCTGGGCAACTGCCCATGTGCTGCCTGATCCTGCCTGGCTCCTACCACCTTCATGGAGGTAGGAGTACAACTCCTACTCGCTATCATGCCAGAGGGAGCTCTTGACATGGTTGTAGATAAATTGCTGCCATCACTTGATTATAAGTAGCATAGTTTAATATTGAGTATGTTTTGAATAATCAACTTACAAGTATATAAATAGTAATGAATTACTAGTTTATAAATATTGTCTGATTATTAAACACTCAATAATTAGTTAATAAGCACAGAAAGTATTGTATAAGTGTAACATATCAAATTGCAGATGCTGTTTGGCTGCTTTCTGGAAAAGTGCCTTCCTTCCCAGGGGTGGAGGAGCTGGTTCAGTCTTGCATTTGTCTTTGGTGAGTGTGGGCAACTGGGCCAGTGGCACTGCTCCCACAAATTGCCCAGCAGGAACCATACATGTGCTGGGACACATCATTTCTGCCCTTGAAAGGAGACAAGGAGAGTCCTGCCCAGGGTTCCCTGAATCTCTGAGGAAGAAGCCAGGCTGCTTGTGCAGAGGACAATGCTGCTGCCTGCTCTGCTTCTGTCCGGGGGTAGTCCTGCCCATCTTTAAGCTAATTAAAACTTCTGCTCATTATAGCAGTGTGGGTTTTGGCAAGGTCATAAATCAATCACTGTCTTAGAAATATGAGCTGTCATAATTGTGCATTGTCTAAATGTGAACTAATGAGTTAACGACTATTCCAGCTGTTGTACACACCTTGAATAAAGAGTTGGACATACAAAAACAGTATGAAAAGTGTCTTTTTCCCCAGAGACTCTTTCAGACATTGAGTTCAGCCTGTTGTAGGCTGGTCTCTCAAACTTTGGGGACCAATATGACCAAACCCCCACCCCTGGTAGAGGTCTACATACCCTGCCCACCTCCTGCCTGCCTGGAACACAACATCTTCCCAATCCCTCCCACCCTCCTGCTCAGAAACAGATGACTCAGTCTCAGTTTCTGAGACCAAACATGCAGGACTTGGTCTCTGCTCCAACTTCACAGCCCAGCCCCAGGAACCCTTTTCCCAACCCCAAAGACACAGGACTTTGTTTCATTTTTAGAGCCCCCAAAACAGCTCCATGAACCTTTTTTCAAGTCTGGAAAACTCAGGACTTAGTCTCCATTTTCAAGTACAGAAAACACAGGTCTTAGTCTCTGAGTTTGATGACTCTTGGTCTTAAGGCCCAAGGACACGTGTCTTCATTTGAGGCCCACAGCCCATGACTTGCCCTTCTTTCTTGAAGTCAGATGAGCTGGGGTTTTGCACCCTCAAAACTGCCCCCCTGAGCCCGTATCTGGAAAAAGGGTTTAAAACAGGCTTCAGTGTCCTGGCTTGCACCAGTTACTCTAGTTCCAGCCTGCCTGTCACCTTCCCCATTCCAAGGGCCGCTCAGCTTACTGGGTGCCACATAATGCCTTCATATCTGGGAACTGATGTTTCTGAAAGCAAAGCCAGAGTAAAAAAACCAACCATAATGATCCATTTCCACATCTCGGGCAGAGCAGAAAATTCCCTCAGGGTCACATATACTGACAGCAGCACTGGATCAGGCACTGAAAGTGTCAGAGCTGCTGTGAGAGCACAAAGACATGTTGGGAACTGCAATTTCACTGGAGAGCATATGGCTGGGTCCATAGGACTCTCACAACTAAAATACTAAGCAAGGGGAAAGATAAAAGCAAAGAGAAGCCTAGCAATCTCTCTGACATCACTTTAGTGCCTCTTTTCTACAATCAGATTTGTGCATAAGCGTGTGGGTGTATGAAGGACACACACTGCTTCTTTCATTGTGCCTGAAGGACAGACACAAAGCCTCCTACAACTCTTCACTGGAACAAGTGCCAGGAGAAAAGAGAAGTCTGACGCATGGAAGCCAAGCCTCCAGCCCTAGCCAATGACAGAGGACTTCAGAGGTGAGTGAAGGCTGGGGCCTTTCCAAACTGACAGGAAGTCACCCAGCCTGGCATCGCAGCTGGTAAATCCTATGCTGGACAGACCCTTCCTTTCCCTGGAGCTGTCTGGGGGGCTGCAGGCTGCAGGGCTTCAGGAGCCACCAGCTTCTGCTCCCAGTTACTGCCTCCCAGGTGCTTGCACATATTTCTAAGGGAAAGGCATAGTTCTTTTGTAATGCCACAGTGTCATGTCTGCCACCTTGTTGTGTTAGTACTTTGTTACGTTGTAGACTAACTGGGCTGGGATTTTAACAACACCCTTCAAATTAGGATCAGAACCTTTCATTCTCATCCCTCCTCCCCGATTCTGGGCAGTGAACTAACTCTCTTGACTTTGGAAGATCTCTTCACTGATTGTTTTGGGAAACGAAGATGTCTTGGGAGCTGGCTGTCTCTCCTAGAACTATGCAAGGAACATGAGGGAAGATACACCAAAAAGCCAGGGATTTTTGTCCAAACTGACTGTCTGATTTTGCTCTATTTCTCCCAGAGAGATGACCTGCTCTCAGGTAACGAAGGGCAGCAGCCCTGCAGGGCCCTTAATTAAGCCCCTGCTTAATTAATTAACCTTAATTAATTAATTAATTAACCTGAGCAGGGTCCTCCCACTGCCATTTAAGCTCCAGCTGAGGGGCCCTTCCTCTTTCCCTCGCTGTAGGTAGGTCTTTGTACACCCCAGGTCCTTCCTAAACTTGGTGTCCTTCCCAAACTTGGTGTCCTTCCCTGGATGTCTCAGTTTCAGCACCTTGTATTTCCTTTCTGTGTGCAGGGCCTTTGGCTGAACCTGCTGTTAGTTCTCGCTCTGCTCTGCTTGGCTGCTGGGGGAGCTGGGCTTCACCTACGAGGCTGATGTATGTGGGGGGCTTATTTCTGGTTGTTTTCCCATCGTGGGATTGTTTAGGGCTGGCCTGTACCTTTAGGTTCAGTTGGAAGTGGTATAGGAGACCGTTGTTAGCTTGCAGCTGTGCACCCTAAAACTTATGACCCTAAAACTTATGACCCTTCCTTATCAGATGCTGCTCTGCTCAGATGTCTGGTGCTGGTTTCTGGGTCTTCTGTGGATATAGGGTGATACCTCTCTCTACCCTGATGCGCTGCCACAGCTTGGGGATCAGCACCTCTAAGAGCAGCTAAGTAACTCCTGGAGCTGCCTGTGACCTTTCTTCTGTCTCTTGTACCTCCAGGGAGAAATTGCTTGTGAGCAATTCAGCTCCCCTGGTAGGACTGCTGGGGCCTCTGACCTGGGACTTGTTGGTCACATCCTGACAGGGGGCAGGTGGCTGCCTTGAATACAAAGTGGCCCTGACCAACCTGATTTCCAGGACGGCCCATAGGGGGGAAGTTGGAAGAGACAAAATGCTTGGCTGGTTCCATATACCTACCTTGTTAATTCTCTGTCTCCTCACTCACCTCAGGAGGGGTCCCTGGGTGCAGCCAGTCCTGGAACCTCTCTAGACCTCTCCCTGTAGTGGAGAGCAGCCAGTGGCTGAGGACACCAGCAAGCCTTAACTGCCCTGAGCAGTATTGCCTGGTACCTCACTGGGATTCCCCTTTGGGGTAGCGAAATGGTCTAGACAGTGACAGGATTTGACAAGGGCTTGGGTGTGCTGTGCTGTGGAGAGTGTGGATGGCTGCCCTGGGCTCTGTGGAAGTAAGCCTTGGCTGTCTCAGCTCTGAGAGACTGTTCTAGTCTGTAACAGGTCTTAAGGGCTCTTTCCTCCATTGAGTTAAGCAGCCAGTTTCAGGAGCTGACCTGTGTTGTATGAACTTATGAACCTGAAGTTTTTTTGGATTAACATATACTTGCTTGTGTATCCTGTCTGTGCAAGTCCTGTATAACCATCTGCACAGTGCTCTGAAATTGGGTGCTCCATCATCTCCATGTGCTTACAGGGCATCACTGATATTAATGAACTCACTCTGTGTTGTTGTCAGAGTGCAAGTTTTGCAAATAAGCAAACGTGAGGGGAAAAGCATCTAAATCCTTTAGCTGCACAAAATATAAAGTCTCTGGACACACAGTAAAGGGATTGTGCCTTCTGTGATTCTCGAACTGGCCAAACCAACAGTCCTTTTGTGTTTCTGATGACTCGGAGCAGGACTTATATTGCCTCTCCTTCCTCTGATTTCTCTCCAGACGGTGAAGACTTCCTCCCACCAAGAACAGGTCACAGACTTCATGACCACTGTCCTGCACTATGTTGTGTGCTAGACTAATAGGTGTATGAGGCCTGGACAAAGACCTTGCTGGTGGAACACAGAAGTGAAATACTGCAGGAGGTAAGAGACCCTTTTTTTTTTTCCTCTTTGACTTTGGATTTTTTCTTTCTTGCTGATGAAGAGCTTTTGCTGACATAGGACAGCCTGGCCACTGTTGTCAAGGGACTCTGCCTGTCAGTTTGTGGGCAACTTGCTTTAGTGAAACTGTTCCTCTGATCTCAGGTGTGTTAAGCTGACAAGATAATGGAAATTAGCCTTATTTGGCAAGTGGCCCAGGAGGAAAATTCTTCTTTTGGGAACTACTACTGCAATTCCTAGCATGGCGAATCTTGTGGTGGGAGCAGCTGGGACTTTTTGTAACAACGACCAAGTTTGGAGAGGTTTGCCTGGCCCCAATAACCACTGAGGTGACAACTAGTGTGTGTGACTCCAATTCATCAGCTGGGTATGGGCCTTATAAGCATTCAGTGCTCACTTCTCTGCCTGTTTTTTTCTCTGTCCTAGCACCTTATCTGAGGAGAAGGTAAAACCATATTTTTCAAAAAAGTCCTGCGTGACCTGGATTTCCCCCTCCTTTTACTAAGGCTTTGGAATAGTGTAGTTACTGAAGCTTTGGGGCAGTGAAACTTTGAAAGGTGCAACCTATCTGCAGTCCAAAAGCTGTGTCATTTATTTCAGAATTAAGACAGGATGTATGTTTTAAATGGCACAAACACAGAAGTTTTGACATCAGCAAAGCTTATGTTTGACTATGAAGATGAAATCACTTCAACTTACAAATAACTGTCATATTTTATTGGACAATTTAATATCAAGCAAAGGCTCTTGCAAAACGCTTAAGATGTAATGAAAACCAAAATTGCAGTTCTATTGTTGAAAGTAACTTGACTGGTTAAGAGGTCTATTTCTTGCTTGACTGCCCACCTGCCACATTGTCCTTAATTAAAACCTGAATGACAGTCCTCCTCCCGAGAAGAAGTCTCTCCACCTTTAAGACCAAAAGGTGCAAGTACTATTTAAGTATTTATGAAGGTAGTGCTTAGTGTGAGCTGTGTTTTTAGAGATTTCGAAACAAGGATGGGAAATACATTGTCTTATTTGCTGGACATTAGTCTTGCAGGTTTGAAATCCAAAACAAGTTAGTACTTTTTGAAGCTGGAAAGGAACATGGTTGGAAGAATCAACTACTGTGTATGTATTAAGGCAGGACAGTTCTTGCTTTAAGTCAGGCCAGTTTTCTACCTGCATTGCTGAGAGCTGTTGTGTGAAACACAGCTTGGGTAGGCACTGGTCAGAGTGCTAAATCCTGCAAAGTTTCATGAGTGTTTCCATCGTTTGCTTGTGCTGACAACTGATCTTGAACAAAGGATGTGTTGCTGCCAAAGTCCGTAGAGGCGTTGGCTGCACTGTCCTTCCTGTGAGTGAGAAATAGTGTCATGCTGAAGATCTGAACAGACAGGGCCAGTAGAATGGTAAAGGAACAGCTGTAGAGATGAAAGAAATGCTATTACTGATGCTTTTCAGCATTAATAACA